CGATAATAACAACTATAACCCTTTCCTTCCCCTAACCCACAGACGTCGACAAACAAGCAATCAACACGGTCGGTCCATAACCATATATATATATACACCAAGAACATGCCTCGTACAAATATCATAATCTCTTCAAGACCTTCATACACTAATATATCCTGAGATAACTCAACATGACCGACGCAAATCAACCCCACCTCAACGGCGCCTATTACGGCCCCTCCGTCCCTCCACCGCAAAAATCCTACCGCCCCGGCCGCGGTCACGGCCGCGGTTGCCTTTGCTGTTGCGGCTGCTTTCTTCTCAAACTTCTAATCGGTCTTGTCATCATCCTTGGCCTAGCGGTCCTAATCTTCTGGCTCGTGGTCCGACCACAACCCGTAAAATTCCACGTCATCGGCGCGTCCCTGACGCGCTTCGACCATGCGACTTCAGACAACAACCTCCGTTACAATCTTGCCCTAAACGTCACGGTCCGAAACCCTAACAAGAGGCTCGGAGTCTACTACGATCGCATAGAAGCACGTGCGTATTACGAAGACAAGAGGTTTAGTACCGTGACTCTAACTCCATTTTACCAAGGGCACAAGAACACGACAACACTAAACCCCTTGTTCGAAGGGCAACAACTTGTTGTGTTCGACGGCGAAGAGTTGCGAGGTTTTAACGCCGAGAAAATCGCCGGAGTTTATAGTATCGATGTCGAGTTTCGACTCAGGATTCGATTCAAGCTCGGGAAAGCAAAGACGAGGAGGATTAAGCCTAAGGTTAAATGTGATTTGAAGCTTCCTTTGAGCTCTTCTAATGGAACTACGAGAGCTTCCCCTGGTGTGTTTCCTATCACCAAGTGCGATTTCGATTTTTGATTTGATCATGTTGCTATTTTCATGGTGTATGTATGTATATATGCATATATGTTTTTATTATGTATTGGTTCGTTCATTTTTTACCCTATGTATGATAATGTGTTATTTGTTGTTATCGTATGAATTTGTCTTTTCTTTTTTTATTGTTGTTATAAATAAATAAACTTTTGTTATATTTCTATTTCGTAGACAAGCAATCCGTAAACCGATTGAAAAAAATAGAAATTTAAATTAAGGAAATAAATTATATTCATATTATGTGTCCGTACATCAATTATCCTTCGGTTACTTAAAATTCAACCGTTGGCTTCAAGAAGTCCATGCTGTGTATAATTCCGCGTCTTGAGTAAAAAAAACAACCGTTGAATCGGTTTAAAATCATAGATGTCGGTTCAGTTCAGTTTAAAATCGGATTCAAACCGAATCGATTGACTTGTATGCCAATTAAACCAAACAAACCAAATCAAACCGTAAATTAAACCCACTTAACCGAATGAAAACTGATTTAAACCTAGCCAACGCCAATTTACCATCACATATGATCTAATACTGTCAATGTAATAAAATGGTCATAAACCAAATAACGTGAACTAAGAACCGATTTAAACGGAAACAAACCGGAATCCCAGTAAACCGTACCAATTTAAACCAAGCCGACACCAATTTGCCAACCACTATATACAATATCATCGACGTTGACTCCTACAGCCTGAAACCTTAACCTCCTCTCTCAAATTGACGTCGCGGTGACGTCATCACGAACCGGAGAAGGCGAAGGTGTGTAATACGGCGGCGAATCACACGGCGTCGAAAACGGTGTCGCTTCGTCTTCATAATGATCACTATCGCCACAAGATTCAACGGCCTCGATTTGATCCTCGTGAGTTGCGATTTTATTTCCTTCGATCTCAACCGCCCATTCAAAACTATCGGTAGTACCATCCGCAGCAGATCCCTCCCTCTCCTCAGCTATGGTAAACAGACCCCTCGATGGTAGGGGCAACTTTAGTGCCACGTCATCAATCGGCGGCTCAGCCGCGACCGCCGGGATATAATTATTACTAAGACACTAACAAATACAATGGAGAAAAAGTTATATTTGTAATTTTATGGAGGTTGTTTATTTTCCTGGAATTATCTAAATAAACACTCTAAACTATCACACACCATATTCATTATAAATAAACCTTAAAGTATTATGTTTACAAAAACACCTTTAAAGTATTACACTCAAATAAAACAATTACACTAAAAATTAATCATAAAACATAAAAATAACTAGCGTACTACACCATAAAACGTAGACGACCTGGGCCGCAAACGCGATTATGCAAATCGCGAATACCGCGATGAGGACTGCCCCGGTCTTGCTTAGACCGCTCATTGGTGTTTGGCAATAGGAAACCCGAAATAAAAATGTCGTTTCTTTTCTCGTCTTTTGTTTGGAAAGTGGGATTAGGGGTGTTTATGTAATTTAAGTTAGTGTTTAGGTATGAAGTCATTATCTTGACGAGTAGGTTCCCGTTGGCTGACAAATTCATTAATTAATGGGGAAAAACTCATATTTCAATATCTATATCAATTTTTAATTTGATAAAAAATTTATACATAAATTTAAAATTTTTCAATATCTCACACCAAATCACTAAATGTGTTACAATATCTTACATAACCACAAATACAAATAATTTAAATAATATCTCTAAACTAAAGTTGTTTAAATCACTGAAATTTCTAAGACAAAATTTTTAAAAAATTGAAATCTCGAAATTCTATGATTATGCGAGAGATTTCAATATATTTTGAGATTTTAGTGTGAGAATTTGAAAAATCTTGAATTCATGTGTAAGTTTTTGTTAAATTAAAAATTGATATAGAAATTGAGAATATAACAAAAATTAGTGAATATGGGATTTTCCTTTATTTGTGTGACTATACCTTCCTCTAGCCCCTAGTAGACTCATAACCAATTTTCCATTTCAGAAATTAATTTTAATTTTAATTAAAAAATTAAGTATGTCTATGGATCATATAAATTGGATTGACATTGACTTTTTAGTTTTTTTTTTTATATAGGGTCGGTCACGTGGGGGCTCTGAGTTAACGGTTGTCAATTTCACCACCAAACCATATTAATAGAACATTTTTGTTTGGTGTTACGGATAATTCTATAATTTCATTTTTTGAAATATATTCCATATTAATATTAAAAGATGATACAAAAGAGAAAGATATTTGCATTCAATTTAAAAACAAAAAAAAAAATATTGATGAAAGATTACTATGAAACCTATGTTGAAGTCTAAATGGTTACACAACTATCTCTATTCGTAAAGAGTAAAATGTATAGCAATTAGCAGACATGACATAATCATGCCTTTATATCGCGAAATTTGGTTGAAACAATAGTAATTAGTAGACGTATTAGTGGATTTTATAATCGTGATTGTCAAATTGTATTCCATGTATATAAAACAAATTACATATTACCCGCATCTTTTAAAACTTTCTAATTGAGCCCCAGAACTTCCCAAGATACAGATACATCCTATAGTAACAAAAAACACAGAAATCCGAAAGTCTCTCGTTGAGGAAAAGACCAAAAAAAGTATTTTCATCCAAAAACTACTCATTTCATGTCTTTAATATCCTCTTATATGGATTATATTTAATAAAGAACCGACCAAATTAAATACAAAGTAACCCTAACCCTATTCGAACTACGTCAAAATCAGTTCTTTTAAAAAACATTCTGATTAAAACAGTTGTAGAAAAATAAACCGAAAAAATCTATACCAAATATAATTTCCACCTTGTGAAATTAGATATTGCATTTGGAAAATTGATCGAATCACAAAACAAGGGGTATTCAATAGATTAAATCATGAAAAAAAATACCCAAAACTTTTATGTGCTTGCTTATGAATGTCAACCCAACAAGATTTCTATGCAACACATATGAGAAGATTAAAGTGTACAATGGGCCCTTGATCATATACAAATGGGCCATGTGTAAAACTTGACCCCATGTGTTTCAAGTATTCTTAAAATCAAGTCTGTTTTTTTTTTCTATAAAAAAAATTAATAACACAATATTGGAAAAAGTTGTGTGCTTTATTATTATTATTATTATTATTATTATTATTATTTTAATCTATTTATTTGCTTCCAAAAGGAAAAAAGGAACAAGTTCAGGTCAAATGTCTAAGCCCTTTAATGCCTACTTTCTGTTATTCTTGTTATCTTCCTTCCTGCTTTTGAGGATAAAAAATTAGATTCCATGCATCATGCACGTATTTACATACACCCTATATATATATATATCATGTTAGTGCACGATATTATATTGGATTTTACTGATGCATCTTGTAATTATATAGCTAGAATTTTAACAGGTTATAAGAAATATAATTATTACTAAGACACTAACAAATACAATGGAGAAAAAGTTATATTTGTAATTTTATGGAGGTTGTTTATTTTCCTGGAATTATCTAAATAAACACTCTAAACTATCACACACCATATTCATTATAAATAAACCTTAAAGTATTATGTTTACAAAAACACCTTTAAAGTATTACACTCAAATAAAACAATTACACTAAAAATTAATCATAAAACATAAAAATAACTAGCGTACTATGTAAAAACGTTACACTTTAAATGTATAATTTTTAAATATGTTTAAATATGTATAAATATGTTTGTATATGTGTATAATTTTTATGAATGTGTATAATTTTTAAAAAGTTTTTGTTAATATTATTTTTTATTTTTTATTAATTAATATTATAAATATTAGGGGTTGATGATGTGACATGTAATTTTTAAATATGTTTAAATATGTATAAATATGTTTGTATATGTGTATATTTTTTATTTGTCAATTTTTAAAAGTATAATATTTTTTTCGGAAAAAAATATAAGGTTTAAATTGCACAAGAGAAAAGTACAGAGTTTTTATTGGAATTTTTCCTTAATTTTTTGTTTGCACAAAATAAAATCATCAATGATAATTGATTGAAAAAATTTATATCTCATAAATTATTTCATTTTCCCTTATTTTAATTATCTTCATTTTCATGTTAATAAATTCACTCCCTTGCTTTAATATTTCTATTGAATTATCACATCCTTAATATTTGGTTCTGAGACGGTCTTTGCTCTCTGTCGACCATATTTAGTGTGGATGCAATTGCTTCAACGTATGAGCAAAGTATTATTTTTTATATAATTAAATTCTAATTGAAAAAGACTTACTCTTCCAAAACAAATGGAAGCAAGATTCATGCAAGACATATGATTCAACATGGAATTTAATGAAGCTGATATATTTCATCATATACATATGAGAATTTTACACCCCTCAGTCAAGAAGCGTTATGATGGTTCATGGGATCAATCATTTTCTTCTTCATGTTCATGCATCACCATGATGATCATTATGATGATGATGATGATTTCTGAAATGAAACATCCCGTCCACAGCTTCAAGTAATCCAATATCGTCGATGGGTTGTTCTTTAGAAACGTCATCTTCAAGAGAAAGATTCAGATCAAATGACACACAAGGACTCGCTGTCGTCACGTTTTTATCCTCGGAATGATCTGAACCGTCTGATTTCCGAGGCGAACTCGTTCTTGTTCTCGATCTGAAGCTTTCACAGCTCAGGATCACAACCGAATCTCCGAGTGAAGCTTCCTCTCCACTTGCATTCTGAACGCGTCCTCTTTCAATGGCCCTTTTGAAACCCATTTGAGAAAAGTGATCAGTTTGATCGATATCTTCGAGAAAGAACACTCTGTGCGGATCATTCGATACAGCTTCCGAGAGTGTCTCGATGTGGCTCCAACTCCGTTCATCCCTCGTTCTCTTGTTCCTTAGATATGCTTTTGTTGAATCAGCTCTTGTTGATGACAAACTGCTCAAGCAAATGGAAACAAATCGGTTCTGTGACCCGAAGACGAGTTTCGCCAGCTCTCTAGCGATCTTTTCTTTGGCTTTGACGTCACCTCCTTCGAAAATCAACCATGTTTCTTCCTTGACATCATCATTTTTGTCGCTAAGTTGCTTCCTATTAGTCGATCCTGACCTGCATTTCAAGACCGTTCTCGCTATCTCAGGGACTATATCCTTCTGCCATGGTACCTTCTTCTCCAAGGCATCACAAAGAACTCTTACATTCTCAGAATTCACTTCCTTCAACTTGGAGACATATTCCATCTCCATTGCATCACTTGATGAACCCGCAGAGTTCACTGCGGAATTAGGGTTTGTAGGAAAAAGCTCCCCTTTTACGTGATCGTTGTCAGATTCTGGGATAAGGACTCTAAAGTTGGGTTCTGTAGGGACTTGACAATACCTGTTAGATTCGATCGACAACCAGTCGCTGTTGCTTCGATGCAGATTCGTCAACTCGTGAGAGAAGGAAGAAGAACGAGAAACAGAAGACAGCGTAAGGGAGTTTCCAGATTTCTTGTGGATTGATTTGCAGACTGAGTTCCATTTCACGCGAAGTTCTTTTATAGAATCAGGATCCTGAAAATTCCAAAAACGAATCATACAAAAACAGAACAAACTAGGCATACCTACACTCACGCGCATACGTACGTATATGTATACACACATGTGTAAACACATATATATATAATATATATATATATATATAGAGAGAGAGAGAGAGAGAGATGATTCATAGATTGAAAGGAGAGATAAAAGAAGTGATTAAGTATATAAAACTTACAGTGTCGTGGTCGTGGTGATGAGATTGTTCAGTCTCGTTCTTGTACTGTTGAAGCCACGCCGGTAGTAGAGGAGCCGTCCTCGCATCACCACCGCCGCTGCATTGTAACCTTTCGTCTTCTCTCTCTGTTGTCTTGATCCTTACACTTTCGTTTTCCACCTCACTGTAAATTTTGGTGTGAATGATCTATCATTAGAGACAGAAAATCAATTACAAAAAACAAGTATTGATTGTGTCGATCATTTTTGTTTTCATCATAAATATGTCATTTTCGGATAAAATTTCTCTGTTTATTTTGTTAGTATTTTCTATAAATACACAAGTTATTTTTATAGATATGATAGCGAGACATTTAAGAAGTAAAAAAAGGATTTTACCTGTGAGAGACAAGACTCAAGCGGAGGCTACTGGCTGGAATAGTGATCGTCGTGAGGCTCCAAAGTGACTCGAGCGAAGGATGACCTAACTTGCATCGCACGTATGTCTCAGTAGTCGCCATTCCCATAATCCGAAACCTTCCATTATTATTATTATTATCTCCCATCATTAATCCACGACCCAGTTTTCCAATCTCCATTATCATATGCTCCGCCGGACAATGATCGTAACCTCTTCCCAGTCGATAACTCGAACTTCTCGCTCTATATTCCACTATCCAATTAAGATCACCAAGATTTAGAATCAACCCTTTCCCCCCGTAGCTTCTCACGAGCATTTCAAGCTCTTCTAGCTTCTGTTCGACCTCTGCCCTACTAGGTTGTCCGGACGAGGAGAAGGATAAAGTTATAAACTTTACGCCTTTCAACACTTCGGGGACGTCCCTTCTGTCTATTTTCTCCACCAGTGCTCTCACAACTCTATCAATTGTTGTCAGACACTCACCCACGATCACAAAGTTCCTCCTCCTTTTGTCCACCAGGTTTTCTACGACGTACATGACATCTTCATTCCGGATCGGCGTTGATAACTTGTTAGCTCCGGCCTGAGAGAGAGGGACAGCGTTGTTGTCGGTTCCTTCTTTAGGTTTAACTGAAGAGGTTGTCTCCAAAGAAACAGCTTGCTCGACCTTGCTTTTCACATGGGTACTCGAGAAACCAGCCTCTCTCATCACTCTACTGACACTAGGATCGTCAAGAATGGAAATTATCAGCTGTTCCAATTCGATCTTAACGGCCAAGATCGGCTGCTGCTGCTGGCTCTCGATGGATCCACGCCGTTGGTGAGCCTGAGCACGCTTAAAAACAGCGACCAAAGCGTTAGATATGGAAGGGTAGGACGATGATATCGGAGCCCCCAGCATGGGGCTTGCCGAGGGTGATGTCGGGAGACGGTTGAGAGCGACGTTGAAGCAGAGCTGGAGAGCTCTGGACTGAAGCGGGTGGGTGTGTGGCTGGAGACAAGCCGTTCTAAGAAGGCCGGTGGAGGAAGATAGCATGGTGTTAGCAACATGTAGAGGAGTGACCTGAGCATGACCTCGGCACCGTGCCAAGGCCATGGCTTGTTTCACCACGCTTTCCGCCTCTGCCGTTAGGGCTTGCTGCACCGTACATCCTCCTGATCTCATACTAATCAAAATATATGTGTGTGTATATATATAGCTCTAAGACTTTGTGACAAGAAGGGCAAAGTAAGGTACGGAGAAGACGGGGGGACACTAAAGTGAAAAATTCAAGAGCCTTGGCTTCACTAGATTTGATTCTAAACCGATTTGTGAGAAGTTAAAGAGCAAAGAATGCATAGATGAAGGGCTTAGCTGAGGAAGTGGTGGGAGAGAGAGAGAGGTAAGGTGTGAGTTGAAGTGTATATGGAGGAGGAGGAAGTATGCTTTTCTTGTAGGAAAGGCAAAATTTCTTTTGGGGGGGGTTTGAGGGTCCAAATTTAATTTTGTAGTGCAAAGTGGAATGCATGTGATGACAAAGAAGGGTTGCAGCAGTACCAAAACCCAAAGGCAACTCAGCTTTGCCCCTATTCCCTCTCAAACTTGACAAAACATGCAACGGTGGTGGTACTGCTGCTGAGTGGGTCTCTCTCTTTTATGCAAAGTTTACACACTGATTATAGTATTAAAGATACAAATCTTGATTTTATATATATATATATAACCTCATAAAAGAACATTTGGTACAATATCTTGGTTTATAATGTACTCCCCTTTTTCAACACTTAAACCTATGGCTAACCCATGTTCCCAAACACTTTTTTTTTTTCAGACAACAGTTTTCCAAGTCCAGTTCACAGTCAGGCAAGCTGGTCACATGTGAGCAACAAAATTGAGAAAATGGAAAATAAACAAACATGTGCAACACACACACTATTTTTTTGGTGTGAAAATTTAGATTCATGGCAAACACAGGTCAGGACGGGTATCCGAGATTTTAAAATACTCAATCCCGAATTCGATTTTTTGGGTTTTAAAACTCAAAATCTGACCTCAAATCCAATGAGGTGTGATGTGAGAAAAGGGAAGACGAGACCACAGGAAAAGGGCGAAGCTGCGAAGGGAAGAGGAGGCAACTTATGCCGATTCAGATACTTACATCTTATTCAGTTGGTACCCATAAACCCGAATTTGAACTCGTCAAACAGATAATCGGTACAGTCAGACCCGACCTCGTTCTACGGCCGCACTAATACCTGATTACATGCCGCCCCCAATGAATCTTTTGGTAAAACGAGGCACATCGATGTGCTATCTAATCAGCGGTGCATAATCTAAAGACTAAAATAATATTAAAACCACAAAAACAAAAGTATTCTAATAATGGATGCTTCATGAGATTATAGCATATAGTGATGCAACGAGTCTTTAGTATTACACTTCCATAGCATGCCCACTACATGAAAAGAAGAGAAATATACACCACTATTCTTATTCACCTTGACCTAGGAATCTTCAATAAGATTAATCTCCCACGTACGTAGAAATATAAATATAATTTTGATAAGAGCAATTATACAAGATATAAAAGTAAGTATATGCATGTATAATGAAATGCTAAATGGGAAAAATATTGTTCCATTCAATTCTTAGATTTATGCCTTTCTACTAGTTTTTTCCCACAAGAAAAAAAACAAGATATCTTCTTTTCAATCCCCAATCATCTTTATTTCAGCTTTAACTTGTTTTAATGCAAAGCCTTCGTCCCAAGGCCACTATTTCCTACAACATGTGCTATTTTGCACTCACTCTTTCAATGCTTCTAGGAAGAAACTAAAGGCATCATTCTAGAGAAAAAGAGTGTGTGTGTGTGTGTGTATTCAAATGGGAGAAAACAAAAGATGAATGATCCGACAATCATTATTGAGGAAAAGCAAATGATGTGAAATCAGATTTGAGTTATGCGTCAAGGTATCTCTATGCCAAAAGATTAAAAAAAACATCAACAAGAACAGGTGTATGCATATATACATACAAATTGATTTATAGATGTGTGTGTGTGTGGAACATAGTTATGAGCATACACATAATGTGGAGACTGCCTTAATTGGTTTAGTTCGAGTCTCTTAAGACTATGGAGCTTTCACATAATCAGTTCAGACCCCCCGAGGATTAGGCATTAAAGATGCAGATAAATGTGAATTCATGCCCATTCATGAACACACACACACACACACATATATATATATTGCGGATATAGGCATCATAAGACATTTTACTTACATCCTTAGTTATAGAAGGCTTGTAGGGCCATGATGGCAGTTGAGAGAGTAGATCCAAAGTCCAGACACACCAACTGTTTGTTCCTCGCTGTCCACTGTAAAAACAAAAAAGAAAAGAAAAGAAAAGAAAAAAAGCATGTTATATGAGCTTAAGACCCAAAATAATTTGAATGCAAAAAGCACAGGAATATATAAGGTTGCTTCGGGTACACCCAAACAAGCCCTTTCTCTTTTCATCGAACAATATAACTCCGTTCCAACAAAAGCATCGAAACGTTATAACATAAAAGCCAATTTGATGCATAAACCAATCCTTTCAAGAAAGGGTGTGTGACCAGGAGGACGGTCAAACCGACGCTTTACCATGACCAGGTCGGGGATGATTTAATCGCTAAATAATCATATGAGGACCCGTCTGTACAATCCCAATTGCTAAGATTTTGGTCGCGTGTCTGTATACCGAAAGAGCTTCAGCTTTTCAAGAACTTGGCATTTAGTAGTAGCTTACTCTTTGTTCAGAACTATCATTTGTAAAACCAGCGCAACACTACTTAGTGACAGAATGATCTTTCGACAGATTAGAACAAACGGAAACAACAACAATATAGCAAGGGCATTAAATCTTTCGCAAATTACTACTACTTTCTTGGCTTTGTTTAAACACTTAAACTAGTTTTAAATCTTGAATGAGTTTCAATATCCAACAGAAGTAAACTGATGTCATGCAACAATTTTTTACACAAAACCCTAGTGTGTGTGTGTGCGCGCGCGCGTGTATCTTTTCTCAGTGGTTGCTGTCAAATCAAAACCCTTTACTAAAAACTTTCATGGGAACACAACACAACAAATTCTATCAGAGGAGCCTCAGAATTCTTTTTTCTTTGCAAAGTAAAGCACTCTTACCACAAAAGCAAAATATGGCATTATCTACCCAAAAGAGACTCCCATTTTGGCTTTTAGCTTTTTGATCATTCAAAATAAGCATCTTTCTTCTCCTGAGAGTGGCCATGTGGGAAGAAAGCAATAAACTGAATAGAAGGAACAAAGCGAAACCACGGAGGGGGGGGGGGAAGAGATAAAAGATTGGAATAGTGTTATCGCATAATTCTATGTTGGACGGCCTAACTTTAAGAGAGACAGAGAAAAAAGCTTTAAAGATTAAAGGAGCAATGCAAAAAAAAGTTGTCCTAATTTTGACATGACAGCCTTCTTAATCTAAAGTTGATGGAATTACGTACCAGCATGCTTCTTTCTCAGACATTGTTCTTATAATCCGTATCCACCATAAGCAGTAATCAATAATATCCCTAGTTTTTCGCACATTTTCTCTACTTAGCTTGATTTAATAGAAATTCAGACGTTCCGATCGAATCTAAAAATCGGCATATATCCCTCTAACTTGTTCCCCAGATTTCCCAACTTTAACCGCACGAGTATCATTCAGTCGCTGTCTAAAGTAAGGTATGAACTTTAGAGAATGTCAGAGGAACCCACCGAGCATATGCACAGAACATGTTTTGGAAGAGCCTTGTGTCAAAAGAGATCAAAGAGCAAAGTGAGTCAAAATCAATCTAAACTTCCAATTTCTCATGCCATAAACTTCCAATTTTTATTTTTTTTTGTTTTCAAGTTGTGTCTCACGACATTGAGGAACTCTTATTTCGAAACTAAGTCAGGAGGTTAGAAACTCTTCCCTTGAGTTCGAATTTCATCAATCGTCGATCAACATTGATTCCAATAGGAAGCCAACTCTCAACACGCACAAAGAGTAGATGCAGCTCCCTAGATGTCACCGAATCAAATTTTCTATAATCAAATCCAGTAGCAATTTAGAACTCAACAAGGTCTCAACAAAACCTAAATCCTGAGAACATCACGCAATTCGAATGTAAGCTTGCTTACTTCACGAAATTCTTCATCATATCTTCGAAGCAAAAACAGAGAATCAAACTGTCACGTCTCAAATTCACACGGAAGTCAAATCAAACTCCACGCAATTCCAACATACATCGAAGAAAAACAGGAGCACTCCAGTCGCAAAATCTCGATCGGAAAACAAAACTTCGAGAAACTTACTTGAAGAACGAAGAGATCAGAGATTCAGAAGAATAATTGGACAGGATTCCGGAAGAGAATCGCCAACGAAGAACCGACCAGAAGTGGAAACTTACCACGGCGGTGCAGATGACCGTTTTTGTCTACCTCTCCTTCCGCGGCGGGCACCGGAGTTTGGGCTGTTTGGTTATGGGACTAATTTGATTCGGGTCGTGGATGGGTCTGGTCGCTTCGTAAATGAAAATAACAAGCTGGGCCCAGGCATTTAAAGACTGAAGCCTGATTGTATTTCTGGGCTTTACCTTTGGGCAAAACATGGAATTCAAAATATAATTTATTTGATAAAATCTTTTCCAAGGCTCAGAAAATATAAAGGTAGTTTAAAGGCTCCTAAATCGGTCTAAAATCTTCTACATAGTTTATGTTTGGTTTTCTATTACCATTAAATTTTTTCATATTTAAATTTAATAACAAATCTAATAAAGATAAAATATGGGATAACTTGGATTCCTAATATATAATAATAAATAAACATAATTATTTATTATTTTTCTCATTAATTTTAATTTACATCTATTTAATATTTTCTACATAATTTATGTTTTTCATATTACCATTTAAATTTTTTAATATTTTAATTTAATAATGAAACTGATAAAGATAAAATATGATGGTAATTGAACAATCTAATCAAAGTCAAATTTATTAAAAAAATCATTTTAATATGATGAATAATAAAAAATAAATTTTGCGCAACGACAAGGATTAAAACCTTAAAAGATTATATACATCAAAATTGCATTAAAAAGGGACTAAAAACTGTATTGAAGGCCTTTCTCGTCCCAAAACTCTTTTCAGGTTCCCGGTTGGGCTAGAGTCCGGTATCTAGGTTCTAATATATTCCAAACCGGTTCTATTTTGGATACCAGGGATACCAAACCGGTTCTATTTTCACAAAGGTTGCATTGAGTTATTGCAATTCTGGGATCTCCACCGATTTTGTTTCACATGCTCCTCCTTTAAAAAAGATATTCTAACAAAATTTTCCAGAATTATTTAGTTTTCAGTGTAATATTTCATAGAACAACAGATTCCGAAACCAATTTTGATGATTTCTATCGTTAGCGCCGGTTTGGTTCAAATTTCGAGTCGAACCGAATTCTCCCCGGTCCGACAATCAAGTTCATCGATGGAGAATTGAGATTTCGTGGAGATAAGCCTATCCTATGAATATCATTTGCCTTCTCATTTTATTCATTTTTCAAAAAAAAAAAAAAAAAAAAAACAAAGTTCATCCTTTTCCCTTCCTCCAAGAATTTTCCTGGGAAAATTTTTTCCCACTTGGAGAGCAATGTACACCACCAATCTCCCAAACAGCAACGATGCAAGAAACTCTCCCTTTCCTCTCTCACACTTTCCCTTCCCGTCACCACCACCACAGTCTCCGCCATGATTTTCCTTCGCTCTCTCGCCTCCGCTCTCAGAATTTACCCGCACTTTCCCACGAACCAAACGCCTCCCTCCTTCTCCTCCCTCCTTCGAAATCTCCGGATTTTCCCTGCTTACCCACCAATGCGACGAACTCCACCATCAAAACCCACACCTCCGATTTCCGCGAAAAGCTCCTTTACCTCGATTCAATCGGGATCGATTTCCTAACCCTAATCCATCGCCACCCTCCTCTCCTCTCCGCCGACCTCTCCGCCGTGAAATCCATCGTCGAATACATGACCTCCGGCGTAACCGTCGGCCTCACCTCCCATGATCTTTGCCGTGTCGTCGCCATGTGCCCTGAGCTCCTAACTTCGCCCCTTTCCTCCCACACCATCCCAATCATCACCTTCCTCCTTCGCGAGGTCGGCGTCGACGGCGTCTCCGGCGTCCGGTACGCGCTCTGCCGGCGTCCCCGCCTCCTCGCCTGCGACGTAGACGGCCAGCTGCGGCCGGCGATGTATTTCCTCCAGAGGATCGGAATCTCGGAAACCCACAAACACACTTACCTCCTGTCTTGCAGCGTGGAGCACAAGCTCATCCCTCGAATCGATTACTTCGTGAGATTAGGGTTCTCTCGCCGTGAAGCCACCGTCATGTTCAGGCGGTTTCCTCAGCTCTTCAACTACAGCATCTCGGGGAATTACGATCCGAAAACGAACTACTTGGTGGTGGAAATGGGGAGAGATCTGAAAGAGATCATGGAGTTTCCTCAGTATTTCTCCTTCAGTTTGGAGAATCGGATCAAGCCTAGGCATCAAGCCTGTGCGGCGAAAGGGGTAAGATTACCATTGCCGATGATGCTGAAGACGAAAGAATCTGGGTTTCGGGATAGATTGGAGGTATGTTGTGGTTCTTCCCCGCCATTGAAGACCTCACCTTTGTACTGTACAAAACAAGATTCATGATGTGACTTTATATGGATATTGAGAGACAGTTTCCTAGTTTTCGTTTTTGGGTTCGGAGATTTGGTCGGAAAGTTTTGATGGGTTGCTTTGGTTTTAGGTACATTTGTAATGAACCTCCGAGAAACTCGAAAATTTCACCCGAGGAAACGAATCAAGAATGTTGATGTAACTATGTCTGTCTATGGATGGAGAGAGAGCGAGAGACTGAATGAATATCCTCTGCAACTAAGTTCCGAGGTGAATCAACAAGATCTTTGCCCATCTGACTTTAGCTTTTAGCCTCTTGCTGAATTGAATTGGATAAATGCACAATTTTTTTTTCATATGGCTTTCCGGTTTGAATGCTTAATCCATTTCTTACTCTAATTATACCCAATCTAGGTAATACCTAACCCGGATATCAGAATATCGATAGATCGGTAGATTAATGTTTAGTGTTTCGATTTCTAGAATAAATGAAACGACTATTTTTTATTTGATAACCGGATGTTTTGGATCAAGTTCTAAACTAATTTTGGTATCGGAATCAGTCATATAGTTTGGAATATATACCTCTCCCAAACTTGAGGTTCGAATTCGGAGCGAGGTTTCATTTTATCGGTTGAACTATCCAAGTTTGGATCGTAACCAATAATCTTATCCAGTAAATGCATATTTGTATGATCCTTAGGCATATTTCAGTGATGTGGATAATAGTTTGAAAAACCTTCATATGAAGAGTTGGTTAGCATGATTGGGATTTTTCAATCCTTTGGATGCAAATACATGTAAGATGCTTTTGAATTGATGGTGGTTCCGATAGTGGGCAGACAGAACATTCGGCATTAGCGTTGTGTGTTGGACTGAAGCTGAGTTGCGAAGAAGTTGCAGACTCTTGGATTTTAAAACTGGATTGAAAGAGAATTTGGGGTGATTAATAATATACGATTTTGTTGTGCTATCAAAAATAAATTGATCATACAAACCCAAACTTAGGTAGTTTAACCGGTGATATAGGGACGCAAAACGTTTTTTTCGTTTTGAGTTCAAACCTCAAATTTGAAAAAAGAGCATACATTCCAAATCAGATAGTTGATTACCGGTTTCAAAATTAGTCTGGACCTCGGCTTAAAATATCCGATTATCCCAAAAAAAATGATCATACAAATTAGATAGTACACTAGAATGGAAAATCAAGCATTTAGAATATATTTTCTCTTATTCTCTTTTCTCTTAAAATGATGTGTTTACAAGGTTATAGATGACTTATTCATAGAAAATCTGATATGAACCGATCGGTGATGAAACTAAAACCGGTTATGGACAGTAAAACCGACCGGTATAAAATTTTGTGTAGCAATAATGGACTCTACCAATATTTTGTTTATAACAAACTACTTGTCATTATTAAATAAAAAAAAGAATACATGTATTAAATTAGTAGTTAAAGAACTATATGTGGTAGAATACATAACTCGTTCTGATTAAGAATTGCTTCTTGTCGAGTCTTTCTCAGTTCTAACATGCACACATTAAGGCTCCCTCCCTGCCTCTCTCTCCCTCTGTATAATATATATATACACATATATATACAATCTCGCCTCCATAATATATAAGATACAATTGGCAATTATGCCACAATTCCCAATTCATACATATCTATCTAGAACACACACACAGATATATATAACCCACACCTCCATTACCCTCTCTCTCTCTCTCTCTCTTTCTCTCCGAGACCAACACAATGACAGGCAAAACGAAGAAGAAGACAATCCTCAAGACGGTGTCGGTTGTGGACATCGGATGCAACAACTGCAAGAAACCAAACCTCTCCTCCATCTTCAACCCTTTCCCCAGAAAGCCCTCACTCCGTCCACGTAATTACACCCACTGCCACTCCTCCTCCACCACCACCACCACCACCACCACTAACCAATGGTTTTCCGACACGTCATCGTCCTCCCCATTCTACAAGAACAAGTCAACCCCCTCAACGCCCTCCGCCACGTCGGCGCTCGCCGTCGAGAAAGATTCCGATGACCCTTACCTCGATTTCCGGCAATCCATGCTTCATATGATCCTCGAGAACGAGATTTACTCCAAAGACGATCTCAGAGAGCTTCTCCACTGCTTCCTGAGGCTAAACGCACCGTTTCACCACGCCGTCATTGTTCGCGCGTTCTCCGAAATCTGCGACAGCGTTTTCTCCCGACGCAGCGTTGGAGGAGGAGGTGCGGGGGCACGTGCCTCACGTGACCGCTATTACTACTAGCGTCTAATTGCTGATGTACGGTTCGTTAGGGGGTACGTATTAATGTTTGTTAACGTTAAAGTAGCGTAATGCCACGTCACCAATAATATATTGACACATTAGCTATTGTCTGACGTGTCAATATATTATTGGGAGTTCGTTCTACGTTTTAACCTATGTTTGCCTTGGGATTTTAATGTTGTCCGCCTTAATCTAAGTTAATTACTGGGTCTTGGTGCCTAACCCCATATAAACCTTAAGTTATATATATATATATATATAAAAAAAAATTCGTTGAATAATGGTATTGAAAATTTGATTCGAAAAAAAAAATCGAAAAGTTTACGAATGGTAATAAAACACGTTGAAAGATGTCGTATTAGTGAATAAAACGTTACACGAAATTTGATTAACAAAATTAACGGATTAATTTTGAAGAAAATTGCAAGTCTTGAGATTTTGGACGGAATACTGATAATGAAAACTTGGTAATTGAAATTGCCGAATTAGAAATCACTCTTTGGCCATGCGGCAAAATGTGATACCAAAAAGTTTGATTTTGCATTTTTAGTGTAGTTTTAGGTATCTGACCTCATCCCACCTTTTTAAAAAAAATAAAAAATAAAAAATCTTAATAATTTTATATCTCTTTAGTCGCTACTTCTCGCCGTAATTGAATGGATGCAATCAAAGTAATATTTTCTTTTCTTTTTTAAATTTTTATTTTGTTTGTTATAATAATATGCCAAAATTGGGTAAAGTGACAAGAATGGAAGATTCAAAGCTTTTCGATGTCACTCGTGACTTCTCTAAGATAGTGACGTTATGTTACACGTATATTATAATGATTACCTTCATTTATTTATTTTCTTTCGATTACACACAATATCGGTCCTTTTCTCCGGTCCTCGTGATTACATTAATTTTATAGGACGTGTAAGAAAATTTAAATAAAACTTATGGTTGAGTGGTCTAATGATATTCCTATCCGAATTCAAATTCAAATATAGAAAGAAATATTTAGATAAATAAAAATTTATCTCTAACAAGGTTAGCTGCGGATTTAGGGAGACTAATTGGGCCGAAAATTTATTAAACCTCTTACTTATAAAAAAAATTTAAATAAAGAAATATCATTCTTCCTTTATGGATACAGTCGCATTACTTATTTACATTTACATTATTAAAAAAAGTTTTATTTGTAACGTCTGGCCTCTGTTTCTCGATGAAATCATGAGTGCCCCTTTGTAAACGAAGATTTAGCTGCGTTTACGTAATTATAAAATCCTAAATTTAATTAAAAAAAAATGGCAACAAGTTTTGGGTTTTGATTCGATATAGTTTCAGTTATTTACGCATTCAAAATTTTCAATTTTAAAATATAATAATTCAATTTTTATACCTGGTTTGTTTTAGTTTTGCTTCGATTCAAATTTCATTGAAAATATATATATATATATACAAATTATTTTAATATTAATTGGTTTAAATTATAAACCCATTAATTAATTACATCTCACATTTTCGTAGAAAATCAATCCATTTGTTGGGATAGAGTTATATATATATATATATATATTTTTTGTTTTTATTCCGTTATCGGCCATCCTGACGAAAACCATAAAAAAATTATGAACTGATGAAAGCTATATATAAATGTAAATGCTAAGCTAATCATGTTTAAGAATTAAGACCATGTTCTAACAATTATCAGTAATTCTTTGACAAAAAAAAACAATTATCAGTAATTAGTATTACGTGTTGATATTCAAAAACAATTTTTTTTATTAAATAGCATTAAAAATTCTGACGTAGTCAAAGACAGCCATCGAAAATATTTTGTCCAAGTTCAAAACAACACGTAAACACCATATTCGTTTGGGCATCGGGATTTGATATTTGTCATAATTAGAAAGATATGTGTAATAATTACAGACACACATATATATACAAAGAGGCAGACATTTTAATGAACAATTTTATTTTAAAAAATTAATTTCATTTTCGTTTAAAAAATAATTTTCTTTTTACGATTGGAAATTCCAAATCTATGACGAATCGCACTCGGATCGCAATTCTCTAACAAAATCTTCATCATACTAGCATCGCTAAAATAGTATAATAAAATAGATAAATAAAACTCGAATCTACTTTGGATAATAATGTATAGCAAAAATGTTGTTTTAAATAATTTATTCTGTAAAATTATAGATTTCAAAATACAAAAAAAAAATAATTCACAAAGTTTTTTGTTCAATTTCAGCAAATTTATACATATATATATATATATATTATTTCTTCTTTCTATGTATATTGACATATTTACAAGTTTAGAATGTTTAGATATATTTATATTTATATATTCATATTATGGTATATTAACATATTTGTGTTATTTTTTTGCGGTCATCAATATTAGTGTATATCTCTTTTGTAGGATATATCTCGACCTGATATTTCTACCATTTTGGAATCTCAGATAAATCAAAATGAATCTGAGAATAGTTCTTTTATGTTTTATTATTCTAACATTATATTTATAGCATTTTTATATTTTAAATTGGATTGAACCAAACAAATTAAATCGATCGGTTAGCGTAAGCTGACAGTATTTTCTAACATTTTCCAACGGTTTAAAATATTAATAATTATTAATTTTATCAAGTTGCTCACTATGCTCCAACTTGTATTTTTTTTTCCACATCGAATATGATTTTATATGAAAAACGAAAACGCTTTTTACCGTAAAGAATTCAATTGTCAGCAGTATTGAAAATTTGATTCGAAAAAAAAAATCGAAAAGTTTACGAATGGTAATAAAACACGTTGAAAGATGTCGTATTAGTGAATAAAACGTTACACGAAATTTGATTAAAAAAATTAACTGAAATCTCGTCAATTTTTCTCTGTATTTTTATTTTATTTTGTTACAGTTGTTTGCATTTACAAAACTAAGGACGATAACCATTATGAGTGGTCCATTAACGGATTTACAAACGACAAAAAAACTAAATTAAAGGACAATTTCATCCGTACGTGACCCAATTAAATTTATGAATACAATCTATTTTATTTTTCACGTACACATGCACATACGTATAATCAATGAATGCATCTATATAAATATATAGCCCAACCACCAAAAATAAATATTTATAATTAATAAGCTGGAGTAGTTAATTATCAGATTAGACTGAACGGTGAAAAGTAATTAATTGCAGGTGAAGAAATTTGTGAATGCAATAAAAAGAGCAATCCCAAGGTGTAAAGTCCCGTGCTCTTCAATTAATGGCTTCACCTACAAAATTTACAACTTGTTGTCTCCTTATAATTAAATAAATTCATTTTTCCCAAGCTTATAATTACTATATGTTTATAATTATATAAATTATTTTCTCGTTTTTGAAGGATAAACAAATCTCAAACCGTTGAGAAAAGAATTTTAAAAACTAACCCTAATGAATTTGTTACCAAGTGCCTAAGTGGCCATAGTAATTTGGACGTAGAATTAGTGTGTGTTTAAATTGATAGAAAAATATTTGTAAAAAATGTAAATTTCTCCCGATTACATATCATGGCCAATTTCAAACTTTTTTTATAATTAAAATTTTTTAATCCAATTTGATGTAAAATGGATACAAGTTTTTAAAACAGAAAATATTGAATCCAAAATAACCAAATATAAATTCACGTAAAGCGTGGACCAACCAAATTAGTAGTCTGTGCCTTTTATAACATTTTTTTCCCCCGCAGCTCAGGATTATTTCTGTAAATTTTAAAGATTATTTATTAGAAAAAATAAATGTTGCCTGAATGGCTAAGAAAAAACGCAATATAAATAGGCCGATCATTCTGATTTTGGGTCCTCGAAAAGCCCATCTTTTCGAAAATATGGATATGTTTTAGATCATTTCTAGTAATTTAATATATTGTTTGTCTTTATATTTCATTTTTTCCGATTGTTTGTATTTTTGCTCACCTTCAAAATATCTCGTGTTAGAATTGTATTTTTTTGGGCATTTGTATGTCATGTAATGTATATTTTTACAAAACAAAAAAAGAAAACCCAAAAACAAATTATTTTAATATTAATTGGTTTAAATTATAAACCCATTAATTAATTACATCTCACATTTTCGTAGAAAATCAATCCATTTCAGTTGGGGTATATATATTTACGGATATCTACAGATAACTCAATCTGAAAAACCCATGCCCTAATTTCAGTGCATCTTTTTCATTTATTTTATTCAAAATTTTAAAAATATATTGGTAAGATAAAATATTATTATATCTGCATTAAATGCCTGAAACACAAAGCTCGAAGACATTATTAACTCATTAATTAATTGTAGTAATAATAGTAATTTAAATGCGGTATCATTATAGCTAAAATGGTTGAAATAAATTTATTATCATTCATAGGTGAAAATAACAGGTCTGTCTGTATGTTGAACCAATTAATATCATAAAATCATGAGCTGGTCTGAAATCAATGAGATGTTGACATATGAATGAGTTTTCCCTTTATTGTGCATGAATCATTTGCTTTATTTTTTTTTTTACGTAAATTATACGCTACAATCCATAATTACAGTGTCGGAAATTGTATCATTGCCTCACGTTTTGATTCCAAAAATTATGTATCCAATATCTTCTAACCATCCAACTGTCCGAATCGAATTATAATTTTTTTTTACACGTATAAATCTACAACCAGAGTAACAAAAAAAAAACATTTTAAATTTGATATATTTAAATCACGGATTATAAACTTAAGTTGTTTTTATTAATTCTGTTGTTAGTTTGAATAGCTGCTATTAATCTTTATTGATTTTAATAAAAATATATTGTTTTTGTGTGATAACTGTATATTTTGAATTAAGACCCGGACTAGTCACGATGCAACGAAAATCAGTCATGTGATTTAAATTATATGTTCTCTACCCAAATTTAAAATTCGAATTCGAGACGAGATAAACGTTTTACGTCTCTATTTTATCTTTTACCGGTTGAATCACCTAATTTTGGTAAAAAGCAAAAGAACGGATGCAATTTTTTATATAAAAAAAACTGTAACCTTAAAAAAAAGAATAATTATAATTTAAAAGGAAACAAGACCGTGTGGATGGTTGTGTAGTTGATTAGGGTTTTGATAGAAAAATGGATCGAGTGGTTTGTTTGAGCTAATCATTCAATTATATGAGGTGACACACATATTCTTCATCATAATATCACCCCATGTTTTGTTTTTTCTTCAATCATTTAATATATTTTTTTATAATGGAATAACGTTGTTTTTTTATTATTAACAAAAGTAAAAAACGTGTTAAATGCTTTCATAAAACCAAATTCCCATGGAACATCTTCATGTCCTTTGTTATTGGAGAAACGTGGGAAAAATCAAATCTCATGCAATATCTCTAACTGTTGAAACTATAGAAGATTTACATAATATGAGAATTCGTAATTTACGGGCCACATGAAATGAATGTGAGAAAAATGCCGTTTTGTGGTTGATTTGATTGCTCCTCATGATCACGTACATCTCATATGAATATTACATCCTATTTATAAGAGCCAAGAGACTATACAAATTTTTTTTTCTAATATAATGGTGAGAATGGAAATTGTGACCGATGAATATAATTAATTACACTAACCCAATCGATAGTCAAAATTAAAGATAAATAAATAAATATATATAATTGGGTGTTCCTTTTTTATCCGTTCAATATTAACTATATATTTATTTATTTATTATGAAATAAATGTTATATTAAAAGTTTTGGTGAAAAGTAAATAGTCGCCCTTTTGTTATATGTAGTGTATAATCATTTACTCTTTAAAATCAATATGGAAAGTGATAATATCTATTATGATTATTAAAACCAATATATTTATGACATATATTCCACATCTTTTCTGTTTTTTTCGTTGTCAAAGATTTATAAATTACACAATTCCAAAATTTACAAATTCAATTTTCTATGATATATATATATATATATATATATATTTGAAATTTAAGTCGTTTAAATCTCACCATACCGTTATTTAAGTGAGATACATCTATTCTATTATAAGAGTTATTCTATTATAAGAGTACTGACTAGGGATGTCAAACGAGTTGGCTCGAAACGAGCTGGTTCGAGCCGACTCGTTTGACATCTCTGGTCCGAGCCGATTCGGATCAGCTCGTTTTGAGCCAGTTCATTTTCAGCCTAGCTCGTTAAGCTCATTTTTATTTGGGCCAAAAAATTTCTGACTCAACCCAAGTCGCTTAACTCGCGAACCGGCTCTCGAACCGACTCATATTTTTCTAAATACCTAAAAAAAATTCATATCAAATTATATAAAATCATATCTAAATGATATATCAACATAAAAAGAACATACCAATACATCCAAATCATATTTATATTCAAAATCACAATCCATATAAAAAAAATTATTTTCAAATAGATAAAATTATAATCCATCCATATACAAAAAACCATTTTCAGATCATAATCCATATACAATTAGATCTTAATCTATGTACAAAAAACCTTCTTCAGATCCGAATCTATACATAAAAAATTATCTCCAGATCAAAATATCATACCAACAATATCAACACTTTCAAGTTTCAACGTAATTTTTTTTTTACTTCAGCTCCCGAAACCGAATCTCCGAGTGAAGCTTCCTCTCCACTTGCATTCTGATCCATTTTTATTTGGGTTCAGATATTCTTGGCTTGGCTCGGTAAAAAAAGGAGCCAACTGCGAGCCGGCTCACGAGCTCGGCTCGTTTTGACATCCCTAGTACTGGCTGATTTTTTTTTTAACAAAATACGATCATGGATTCAAATTTATTTCTAAAAAATTTATATAAATTTCTGTTTCGTTATAAGAATTACGTAATTTTACTATTTATACATGGGAACTAAAATATTGTTTCCAATGGTATATAAAAATGCGTAATTTGACTATGAATACGTTTACGTCGTATACATATATATAATGTTGAGATCCGATCCATATGTACATAGTAAACAGTGGAATTCAAAATCAACGGTTGAGATCCGATCCATCCAACATGGGTGTCAGTGTCTCGATCAGACGGCGCAGGGAAGAAGCAATCGAGTGTAAGATATCCAACGGTTCATATGATCAGAGAATTCTCGGCATCGGATCCCGTCGTAAGCTCAATCTCATCTCATTTGACCCAAATCTAAACCAAAAAATATATAAAAAAAATTATAAAAGTTTTTTAAACGAGAGCAAAAAACTATTGATTTTTAATCACAATATAGACATATATATATATATATATGTGTGTGTGTGTTATTGATTGGTCGTAGAAGTGAAATGTCCCACATGTGATTGTAGCAGAACTGCCGTTGAAGCGAAGATCTTCAGGTTTTGCCCTTCTCACTTTTTCCAACATCGAAACAAAATATTAATTTTGTCTTTTGTTATCAAATGAAACATATATATATATATATATATATATATATAATTGATTGGTCGAGCTTGTGATCGTCGACCGAAAAGTTTTGACCGATCATTGTGGGTTCTTTTGCCAAGAAAAAATAAATAGACACATTAGATGAATATGATATAAATCTAGACCAATTAATCATGATTTTGAGCCTTAATTTTATCAAATTTAGATAGTTTAACCGGTGAAACGGTTATATAAATCATATATTTCATATCAAGTTCGAATTTTGAATTGAGAAAGATGATGTAAATTATAATAAAATAGTTTGTTTTCGATCCCGAAATTAGTGACCAAAACAACGTGCATGTGGCACGTGCACAAGATCCACACGTGTAATTAGTGTTAATTCTCTACGCAACTGAAGGCATTCCCGATCTAGAATCCAAAACAAAAAACTTAAAAGCGAGAATGATTAATCAACACGAAACATAACCATCCACGTCAGTGTCTTTGATCTTCTCTTCCGTCTCTGAGAAAGACGATAAACAACAAACCCTACTCTCATGCGTGACACGTGGCACCAACGGCGACGAAACCTCGTCGGAATCCGAAGAACAAGACGTGTAGAACGACAAATGCGACGAGGGAGATTCGCCGGAAGGATTCGTATTCCCTTCTTGGTTCGAACAAGAACACAAAGTCGAACAGGTTTCAGTAGTAACGGTCGTAACGGCGACGTTATCAGTACTCGAGCTCGAGACGGAATCGTTTTGACCCTTGAAGGCCAATCCAACGAGCAAATCGACAAAGGCAGCGAAGATGTACCCATGGCTTCTTTCGCTATTGACCTTCAAGAACCAGTAGAGAAGCTTCTCGAGGCTTCTCCAGTTTCGATGAAGCTTGTGCGCATCAACCATCTCTTCCATGGATCTTTTGAAATCGTAGTAAGGGTCCTTTGATTCCAATGACAAGAGCACGAACCCATTTCTTGGCTGGTTTGCTTCTTCAAGAATCGAGTTTGATCTTCCTTTCTTCTCGAAGATGAATCTTTTCGACGATTTTAGCCCCTTGATAACGTTTTCTATCGATTCGTTCTCCTCCGAGGAGAAAGATGTATCCATGGTTTCAATGATTGGATTAGGGTTTTTACTGGTTACGGTGTTTCTGAAAGATAGGGTTTTAGGGTTTTGGTGACAAGAAGGCCATGGCCATGAGGAAGAAGATGAAGAACAAGATGAAGAATGCGAAGGCGACGAGGAATTGTTCCTGGAGAGAAACGGGAGTTTCATTTTCTCTTTCTCTCGATGATTTTTTTTTCTGTTTGATTCTCGAGAGAATTAACGATTCGGAGTTTCTCTCTCTATGGATTCAAAATGAGATTCAGAGGGCAGCAATGGGAAGAGAGGGAAGATTTAAATGTCTGAAGAAGACATGAGGAATTGGTGGGGTCTTTTCGAAACTTTTATTAATTTTATTTATTAATAATGGGGTTCTTTATTTTATTTTGTATTTTTTTTAAAGGTGTATTAAATCATTTTCTCAAAATTTAATGTTGTTTGGTTGGGGTTCATTCAATATTTTCAAGAACTTTCCCCCCTTAAAACTTTCTTATTTATTAATTTTTATTGGATTTTAAATTTCTCCTTTTTTTTCCTTCCTCCGAAATTTCAAGTAACTTGTTTTGATGTTCTTTAATCAATTATTAAATATTTAATTTTTAAAACTTTCAACTTCAAATATTGCTGTACTGTGCCATATGAAATAATTAAGATTCCAAATCGAAATTAGATATGCTTTTTTTGTTTTTCTAACCTAGGGGTGCGTGTTCTTTAATGGGAACAATTTTATATTATTTTAATATTGTTGTTATTATTTGATTTTTAAAAAGATATATATATATATATATATTATTAAAGGATTTGAAAGTTAGTTAGAGAATGGGTTTGAAGGGGATGGAAACCATCGAACCTTCCGTATGTGGAACCATTTAGCACGTGGGGTGAAGTATCACGATCTTTTTATCAAATATGAAAAAAAATTAATAAAAAATAGATACCCATATATATATATATATATATATATATATATTGGTAAAGAATAGATACCAATAGATACGTCGTAACTTGTTAAAACTTGTTAAAACTGTCCTAATTTTAACAAATTGCGTCAGAATTTGTTATTAAAGTTGCGTCCAGTTACGTCGAAATTTGCTAAAGTTGCATCAAAACTTGTAAAATTTGCATAAAAACTTTAATAAATTGCGGAAAACCTGTTAAATTTGAAAAGAAATTGTTATGGTAACAAATTGCATGGCAAAATTACTTCAGAATTCAGAATTGTTATAAAAAAAATTACTTCAGAATTTGTTAAAGTTGAGTCGGAGTTTATTAAAGTTATGTCGAAACTTGTTAAAATTCACGGGGTCATAATATTTTTACCATTTCCATATTTTTTTAGTATGGAAATGTTGAATTAAGCTCTTCATTTTTCAAATTCAATTTTTTTGCAATCAATATATTTCTGGAATTCATATATTTTTTTTTTGAAAAAAGCTTTTAGTCAATAAAATATAAAACTTTAGACAAATTCGGCTTTTCTAATTTATAAGACAACTTTTGTATTTGATAATTTCATTTAAAAAATATAATGAAAATGATTTGGATATTAAAATATAGAATTAAAAATAAGTTTAATACTATAATATCTTCTTCCTTACAATTTTTTTTTTAATTCCGTGTTTTTTTTTTATATCGCTGTGTATTTGGTTGTGATTTTCCTAATTGTTGACTGTAATCTGTCTAGCCACGTGTGCGGTAGGCCCATTAGGCGGATCAGATGCGTCCGAAACCTAAAAGTTTTTAGCTTATCCCTATTGCCAAACAACCGTCCACGCGCCCAGGGCCCACATAGAGCCCACGTGAAACGATGGACAACGAACGAACCAATGGCTTCACAACCTTTACCTAAATTCCCAAAATACCCTTCCGTCAGGAACCCAGGTGCCAGTCCTCGTGATCCCCTCGCTCTCTCTCATGGATTCAGAGCAGGACGACGACGCAGACACTCAAATCGGCGGCGAAGATTCGTCGGAAATCGGTAACGATCACGAAGAAGATATGGAAGTAGATCCGGGGGAGGAATATGTTAATTCTCCGTTGAGGTCATCAACAGCGGCGATCTCCGTGATCCCGGCGCCTTTGACAACCATATCTTCCGCTGTTGCCGTCGCCGTTCCCGCTTCCACCGCCGTCACCTTCATCGCCGTTGCTGTCGATCCGGATCCGGAGATAGCGCAGAAACCGCCGGCTGACGAATCGAGGCGGTTATTCCAGCGTCTGTGGACCGACGAGGACGAGATCAAGCTTCTCCGAGGGTTCCTCGACTACACGACGTCGCAGCAACGTAGCGGCGTAAACTCGTATCACCACGACACGGCGGCGTTCTACGAGCAGATAAAGGGCAGCAACGTAGCGGCGTAAACTCGTATCACCACGACGCGGCGGCGTTCTACGAGCAGATAAAGTCGAAGCTGCAGCTTGATTTCAACAAGAATCAGTTGGTTGAGAAACTCCGGCGATTGAAGAAGAAGTACAGAAACGCCGTGAAGAAGATTAATTCGGGTAAGGAAATTTCCTTCAAGAGTCCTCATGACCAAGCTAGTTTCGAGATTTCTAGGAAAATTTGGAGCGCTACGGGAAAAATCATAGGGTTTGAGGATAATGTGCTCGATGACGAGGAGAATCACAACCACAATATTACCGCCACAACCGCAGCGAGTAGCAATTTCAATCTCACACATTGTTCTAACCCTAATTTTGAGGTGAAAATTGAGGATGGTGTTGAGAGGAAGATGGGGAGTAGTAGCAGTAACAGGTGGAAAAAACGATCGAGGACGAAACTGGAGAGAATTGAGGAAGAGAGACGATTTGAGAGTGATGGAATTGGACCAATCGTGAACAATGTTGAACTTTCCGGCGGTGGCGCCGGTGATAACGGCAATCACGGCGGTGGAGGTAACGTGACTGTGGCTGCAATGGTAGAGGAAACACTGAGGAGCTGTTTGACACCAATGCTTAGAGAATTCATGAATGGAACAACCCCAGTGAACATCCCCAATTATGGTGGATCTCGGGGAATCATCCCACCTTTAATTCTTCCACCGTTTCCATCGAATCTAGCGACATTTGGGTTTGATGGAATGGTCGGATTGAGCAGAATCCATGGCCAAGTGGGAGAAAGGGTGGATGAGAAATGGAGGAAACAGCAGATTTTGGAGTTAGAGGTATACTCGAGAAGATTAGAATTGGTGCAGGATCACATCAGATTGGCTCTTGCCGAGCTCCGGGCAACCGGTTGTGGCGGCAGAAACGGTTGACGGTGGTTCTGTCACGCCGGAAGTGGAACGGATTTAGGGGTAGAGGTCTGTGTGAAGCAATGACAATGGAAGGGGCTATGGTATATTTGGACAGAGTAGTATATACATAAATGCATCTGTGGATCTAAACGGGAGAGAGCATACAGAGATTAGCCGTAATGCGAAAAATAAAGATGTCTATACTAATGTTACAGTGTGATATAAATTTCATATTTTGCTTTCTATAATATTTGCTTATTTTTACTTTTACACAACTGAAAATTGTATATCTTGTTATTGAAGGTTTTATTGTTTGAGATTAATGGTAAAGGGGATTTAAAATTTATCACTAACAAAAGTAAGTTATATTGTAAAATTCATACGAAAAGATGATAAGAAATGTAGTTTGGTGAGAATGTAACGAAAAAAAATATAGTTTGAGCGTTCCTATATAAAAGCTTAAAATATGATTTAATAAATTATAAAATATTAAAATATTTTAAATTGGTAAATGAAATAGTTTTATTTGCAAATAATAAATAAGAATTCGATAAAATTTTCTAAAACTAAGAGGGGAAGGAGTGAGGCCTGAGGGTATTAGAGAGGGACATTGGCATTTTAGGTTCATGGTAGGAATGTAACATTTTTGTTATTTAATTAGCAATGTGTACCAAATCAATTCGAATAAGAAAACTCTATGTTTACTGGTTACAGAAACAGTCAATGGCTCAACATTTACTGTTTGCCTCTTGGAAGAGCAATGAAGCAACTCTCTGTTTATCTTTGAGACGACGCCATTGTTTTTTAAAAAAAAACCTTTTAAAAGAAAAAACGACCACAGTGGGAGTCGAACCCACGACCTTCTGATCCGAAGTCAGACGCGCTAATCCACTGCGCTATGCGGTCCGATGTTTTGTTAAGACAAATATCTATTATTATTTTCGTTTCAATAATTAATTTGCTATCAAAATTCGATTTTCCATTTTCCCAATTACATGGGGAAAACTTTAAATCATCCTTGTCGCAATTCCATTTTCCTAAAGCAGTTCAGGTCATCCATACGAAAATCTTACTATTTTAAGCATCATGTTTCCTCTGTTTATACACCCTTTATAACATTTACGAACATTATGGAGAATTTTTAACATATTACTGTAGGTTAAGGAGAGATCTTGATTGCTTCATAAAGAACCTTATAATAAGGATAGCTACCTTTATTATATGTTCATATCCTTTGATTGCTGTAGAAGAGAGGTGGATGATGCCAGGGGACATGACACACTTATTAACCTGATGATGATGATGGCAAGTTTATAAGAGTTGTTCGAATCTTGGTTAAATTTTAACTATATGACACTAAAATGTGATTTTATTAATAAAAATAAAAACATGTGGTTTTTACCTTTGTGACATATGGATCACATATTCGAGCCTTGAAAGTAGTATCTTGTAGAATATTTCTACAAGGTAAGATTTGCCTACAATACACTCTTGTGATAGAATTTTTCCCGACCACCACTCAACGGAGACGCTTTGTGTACCAGATTGTCTTTATGAAATTTAAAACCATCATCGGGTTTAAACCATTCATATATCTAAATTTTGAATATTTGAATTTAGCTATTCGTAATATATTTCAAATGTTCGGATGTCATTAAATTATCTGACAGAACAAGAAATCGAACTTACGAGAACAAGAGATCAATTCATCAAAGTCGAGGCTAAGATATCCGAAAATGGTGAGAGGGTGATACCGAAAAAGGAGATGCTATGAACGAAGATGTGTACCCAAAAGGCAGAGGAGAGCGAGATAAGACGAGAAATGAATGACGGAGAATCATCGTGAGACAAGACGTTGGAACGACCAAACCTATCCGAACCCTAAGCGATTCCATATGCCCACACGTACCAATTCTTTCGTGAGACGCTCAAATCCATATTCAAACATTGCAATCAAACTCAAAACCAGTTGCCGTAACATTTGAAATACGTATGGAACTACGTTTAGATAGTTCCATAGTTTTCGAAAAGCATGGTTTTTTTTTCTCCTCTCTTTTGCATTTTGCGTTTTGGAAGAAGGAATTAAAATCATGCAAAATCTTTCAAGGTAAATATGCCCACATGAAGAACCAAACCATGGGGAGGACTGAATTACATGTACTACTACTACACCACCGACCAAACCATAGTACTGGATTCTGCTGATCAATAATAAAACAAAGATGATCACAGGAAAACAAAATTATCTCTTAATTCTAATTTTTTAATTAAAAAAAAGAAAATAGGTATTTTTAGACTTGCCAAAAGGGGAGCAAAAGTTTATAAAAAAAAAAAAACCCCACATTCCAAGAATATATATCACAAGCCCCGAACCCATTTCCTTCCCCTCCGTCTCTATTGATATAAAACACCCCTCCCTTACTCTTCTTTCTTCTTCTTCTTCGCCTTACGTTTCAACTCTGTTAGTCACACTTGATGTTTCTGTAGATCCTCCTTACAAACATATTCGATCCCAGATATCCCACAGCTCCTGCCCCATTCAGTTTTATTTTTTTAAGGCACGCAGATAAATTCAACGAGGCGATCGGTACCAGCAAAAATATATATATAAAAAAGACTCACCGCAGAGGATTCCGAGGCCGAGGCAGAACATCAAAGTGTAGCCAAAGTAGAAGCTCGTCTGGAAGAATCCCGACATCTTTGTCTTAACGTAGTAGTAGTAGATGGAATACAAGTACACGTAAACAGCGGTAGAAGCCGCGGAGAAGAAGGAGGTCCATTGCCAGTGGTAGTTCTCGGCGTTCAGCA